CAGCCCTGTGGTGGCTGACAGAATTTCTTATTTAGAAGGAAATTGGGATGAGAAAAGTAATTCTCAGGTACCCTATAGTAAGAAATTCTCTTTTTGTCTAAAGTTCCAACAGGGGACAAGGGACTATGCATTCTCTTCTGTGATTACTTCCTGTTGAACCTAGGATGCTGTTGTCAGGACTCTGGAAGGCTAGAATGTTAGTCAAAGGCAAGGAGGGAATTTAGAAAGATCTAGTTCACTGACCAGCTGAAGAGACAGCATTTACATCAGCCGAATTGATCCATACCAGTGTTCAGCAAGTTCAGGGTTCACAGTCATTTGTAACAGGTTATTGTAACTACTTGACATTTGGATGTGTCTGTCAGCCATGTGAAAACCTATTGAGACAAATGTGGACTAGGGACAGAAGTTAAAATTTATGAACTTAAAGGGAAATACTACATTTGGAACTTTTAGGCCCATATTCCTAGTAATTGGGGAGGAGAGAAGACCCAAGACCTGAAGAGAGAAGAAATACCATCCTTAGGAATAGACAGGTGAGGGAACTCAGACTGTATTGCTCTGGAGTACTTTGACCCATGAGAAATGAACCCAGATTTCATGATACTCTCTATTTTTTGAAGTTTATATGATTTTCATTTTATAAAAAGATATAAAAGTTTTAGATACATAGTGTTATCAATCTGTACTGAAATCCCTATTGCAGAATAAAAGGTAACAGGTGTCTGTATAACATCAGGAGAATACTCCAGATGATCAGGTGTAATTAGTCAACTCAATTAGTTTATCTGAACTTGATTTAATTTTGGTATGTGGTACTTATCCAGAATATTGCTCATTTCCTTTAAATTTTCCAATTTTGTGGAGTACATGTTTTTAAAGTATGATCTGATGATTCTCTGGATTTCCTCCATGTATGTTGTTCTGTCCCTCTTTTCATTCCTGATTTTATTAATTTGAATATTCTCTCTTTCTGCCTTTTGGTTAGTTTGGATAAAGGTTTCTCTATCTTATTGATTTACTCAAAGAATCAACTCTTTGTCTCATTGATATTTTGTATTGTTTTCTTTGTTTCTATTTTATTGCTTTCAGCCCTAAATTTGATTATTTTCAGCTGTCTACTCCTCCTGGATGTGCTTGCTTCTTTTGTTCTAGACTGTTCAGTTGTTCTGCTAATACACTAGTGTGGGATTTCCCTAGTTTCTTCATGTAGGTATTTAGTGCTATGAACTTTGTTCTTATCACAGTTTTCATTTCATTCTTTCCCCTAAGTTTGGGAATGTTGTGCTGTCATTTTCATTGAATTTTAGGAAGTATTTAATTTCTTCCTTTTTGATCTAGTAGTTATTCAGTTTAGTATTGTTCAATTTCCATGATTTTATGGGCTTTCTGCAATTAGTGTTGTGGAATTCTAACCTAAACCATGGTGTTCCAATCAGATACAGGGGTTATTCCCATTTTATTTTATCTGTTGAGGTTTGCTGTTTCTGAGTATGCGGTCAATTTTAGAGAAGGGCTGTTGGGCAATGGTCTTGTGCTTTGTAAAGATTTGTCACTTATATTTTAATAAAATGCTGATTGTCCAGTAGCCAGGCAGGAAATACAGGTGGAGCAAACAGGCAGGAAATGGAGTCAGGGCAATGAGAACAGGAGAATTCTGGGAAGAGGAAAGAGTCAGTCGGCGGTGTCACAGTGGAAGTCAGACATGAAGGAAGCAAAATGAGAAGCCTTACTAATAAAGGTACCAAGCCACATGGCTAACACAGACAAGATTTATGGGTTACTCTCAGATGTAAGAATTAATTAATAAAAAGCCTGAGCTAATAGGCCAACCAGTTAATAATTAATATAGACCTCTGTGAATTTTTTTTGTGTGTGGGGGTGAATGGCTGCAGGACTGGGCAGGACAGAAACCTCTGTCAACAAATGTGTAGACCTCTATGTGTTTATTTGGAACTGAACAGCTGTGGGACCAGGTGAGACAGAAATCACTGTCAATAGAGAAGGTTCCATGGGGTGCTGAGAAGAAGGTATGTGCTTTTGTGTTTGGGTTGAATGTTCTATAGATGTGTGTTAGGCCCATTTGAGTCATAACATCTGTTAATTCTTTTATTTCTCTGTTAACTTTCTGTCTGGCAGACCAGTCCAGTGGTGTGAGTGGGGATACTGAAGTCTCCCATGATTAATGTGTGGAGCTTGCTGTGTGATTTAAGTTTTAGCAGTAGTTCTCTTTACAAATGAGGGTACCCTTTTATTTAGGGCATACATGTTCAGAATTGAGACTTTATCTTGATGGATTTTTCTTTGATGTATATGAAATGACCTTCTTCATCTCTTTTGATTACTTTTAGTTTGAAGTCTATTTCGTTAAATATTAGAATAACTACACCAGATTTTTTTCCAGACTATTTGATTGGAAAATCTTTTCCCAACCCTTTACTCTGAGTTAATGTTTGTCTTTGCAGTTGAGGTGTGCTTCTTGTATGCAGCAAAAAGATGGATTCTGTTTTCATATCCAATCTCTTAGCTGATGTCTTTATGTGCGCAAATTGAGTCCATTGATATTAAGGGATAATAATGTCCTGTGATTGCTAGTTCCTGTTATTTTTGTTTTTGTTATTGTTGGTGGTATTGTGTGTGTGTTTCTCATCTTAGTTATATGTCATGTGGGATTATCTATTGCCTGTGTTTTTGTTGATGTATCAAACTTCCTTTGGTTGGAGTTTTTCTTCTCGTACTTTCTATAGGGCTGGTTTTGAGAATAGGCATTGCTTAAATCTGGTTTTGTCATGGAATATCTTGTTTTCTCTGTCAATGGTTATTGAAAGCTTTGCTGGATATGTTAGTCTTGGTTGGCATCTGTGGTCTCTTAGTGCCTGCATAACACCTGACCATGACCTTCTGCTCATTGTTTCCATTGAGAATTTGGCCTAATTTTGATAGGTCTGCATTTATATGTTACTTGGCCTTTTTTTTTGCAGCTATTAATAGTCTTACTTTATTCTGTATGTTTAGAGTCTTAATTTTATGTGTTCAGGAAACTTCTTTTGGGTCCAGTCTATTTGGTGTTTTGTATGCTTCTTATATTTTTATAGGTAAGTACTTCTTTAGGTTGAGAAAATTTTCTTCTATGATTTTGATGAATTTATTTTCTGTGTCCTTGAACTGGACTTATTTTTCCTCTTCCCTATTATCCTAAAGTTTGGTCTTTTCATGGTGTCACAGATGTCATGGATGTTTTGTGTTAAGAATTCGTTGGAACTTAAATTTTTTTTTTTACCAGTGAATCTATTTGCTCTATGATATCTTCAACTCCTGACATTCTCTCTTCCAACTCTTGTATTCTATTGTTTATGATTTCATCTGTAGTTCCTTATCATTTACCCAGATTTTTCATTTCCAGAGTTCTCTTGGTTTGGGTTTTCTTTATTGTCTTTTTTTTTTTTCAGGTTTTATGTCTTGGACTGTTGCTTTCACCTGTTTGACTGCTTTTTGGGGGTTTTACTTTAAGGGATTTATTAATCTCTTCCAATTTTTAGTTCATCTTTTCTTCCATTTCTGTAAGGGACTTTTTCATTCCCTCTTTCAGTACCTCAATCATCTCCATAAAATTATTTTTAGTGTCATTTTCTTCTACTGCATCTGAGTTGGGATGTTGTAATTTTCTTACTGTAGAACCACCAGTTTCTAGTGATGCTGTATAGCTCTTTCTGTTGTTTAGTGTATTTTCCCCTTGTTGTCTAACCATTTCATTCTCTAATCAGTATGTGTGGAGTCGGTGCTTCAGTTGGTTATGTTGGGGCTGTGGCTCCCTTGAATACTCATTAAGGTACTGGCAGGGCTGATACTCTAGTGATCACTCCTCCAGATTCAGATGGGCCCAAGGTTCAGATGGTATCTCCTCTTGATGCAACTGGTGCCATGGTTCTGGTGGTCACTCTGCCAAGTGCACATGGTATCCTGTCTCTGCTGATTGCTGCTTTTGGTGTAATTGGGCCTGAAGCTAAGGCTCTGGTCATTGCATAGCTTCTGGAAGCCTCTGTTGTCACCATGGACCATGGTGGGTATTGATGCTGTCTCCCGGCATGGCAGGCTTTGAAACTACCCAATTGTTTTAAACAAGAAATTTGTTCTCTTATTTAGCAGTAATCATCAACATGTTTAGATTAAAATTACTCATGGAATTAAACATAATTCCAGGCTTTAGAGTGTAATTCAATGGTAGAATGTTCAACCTAGCAGAAATGAGGTCCTAGTTTTGATCCTAACACTGGTGGAGAAAACATAACAAATAACTAGGACCCCAATAACATTAATTTCAATTCACTAAGTCTGGACTGGATCCAAGGGTTAAATGCTTAAACATTGTGAGAGGTTCTAATGGACAGTCATCTTGTGAGATCTCTGCCTCCTAAGCAGTGGTCCATGGACCAGAAACCTCATCATCTGCCTCAGTCATCCAATGAGCTATCCAGAGTCCAGAGATGAGAACTCAATGTCTTATCTACAGCAGAGGAACAAAAGAAGTGTGGTTGTATCTAAATCTGGTGCCTTCAGGGTCAGAAGAAGGCATGGGAAGTCCTAGAACTGGAGTTACAGATGGATGGTAGCTACAATGTGAATGCTGGGAATAAACCAGGGTCTTTTGGAAGAGCCATCTTTCCAGCCCTTAGATTTTTAAAAATTACATTTATTTATGCATGTGTATAGACACTCATGTGACACTCAGGTAGAGAGCAAAGGAAAAATTTTGGAACATGTTTTCTTCTTCCATCATATGGTTATTGGTGATTGGACTCCGGTCATCAGGTTTGGCAGCAAGTACAGTTAGTTCCTGAGCCACATTGTTAGTCCATTGCTTTACTATTTTTAAGAGGTGTTCCCATCTCAGTCTCAAACGTTAATTGGAGAACTGGCTTTTAATATTGTGCAATATTTTAAATTATCAACCACAACAATACCATATTTTAAAATCTATTTTTATTTTCATCAGTGAATTTAAGAACTATAACATGGCAGAGATGAACAACTAATAATTTGTTGTTAATGGCCTCTGACATCATGGCAGATGATCATGGGGCAGTTACGTTTTTCTTTGTTCACTCTGGGCTTGTTCGGTTTTCCCTCTGAAAGCAGAATACATCATTTATTTGATGGTTCCCAAGGTTTGTTCCCATCTCTATCTCAAGTATTTTGAAGCTCAAAGCAGCCCTGGCCTCTTATGCTTGTGAAATCACAAGTATATAAACACCACAGAGTAAATCAAATATAAATTGGTCAAATCTGAAGCTTACAAGGTCACAGAGATGGAAAACAAACAATTTGTAGACAATAGTTTGAGACATCAGAACAGGAGATCTTGGGATAATTACCTGTCCCCTTGTCCTAGGTGAGTCTGGTAGAAGTCCTCCCTGAAAGACAGAGAGTTAATGATGGGAGGGTCTTTGCTTTTAGTTTGTGAGTGAGGTATTTCTCACCGTCTTCTGGATATTTCTGTCTGTATGAAACCTTGTTAAATACAAGCTGTATTCATGGAAATTACTTCTCATGTGCCCCACAGTGAGTCAAGGAAACATTTAGATCCAGTTTTCCTGTCCTGGTGATTTTCACAGCGAGCTCAGATAAGCGATGCCACTTGATCGCCCACAGATTTTAGACACACTGAGGGCTGGTTTCTCACACTCTTCTTTCCCTGCATAGAAAGCTAAATTCTACACTTGTCCAGAACTGTCCTCCTCTATGACCCAGCACAGGGAAGGCTGATCCATGATACAGTTTTTGTCCTAAACCTCGAAATAGCCATCCCACCCTTTGGCTTCAGCATCATTTCCTGCAGACTCCTCTCCCCAACAGCAGTAACTGCAGGTAGGGTAACCAGTCACTGCCTTGCCCTGGTCAGGGGCTCACACCTGTACTCCCCATGGCTTCAGATGCAGCTCAGCCAATACTTGATGAGTAAACTTTTGTGCTTTATTGTGAGGATGACACAGGGATAGGCCATCTGAGATATGTGCCAGAAACATCTGTGTACCCTACATCCAAGGAAATTGGTCAAGCTATCAAGGAAATCTCCTGGTTTTCCCAATTTACAGCGTTGATAAAAATGAAGAACAAAGAACTTATTTCTTTTTTTCTCTTTCTTTCTTTCTTTTTTTTTTTTTTTTTTTTTTGGATTTTCGAGACAGGATTTCTCTGTAGCTTTGGTGCCCGTTCCTGAACTAGCTCTTGTAGACCAGGCTCTGGCCTCGAACTCCCAGAATCCGCCTGCCTCTGCCTCCCAAGTGCTGGGATTAAATGGGTGTGCCACCACCACCCGGCCAAGCATTTATTTCAAAATTATATCCCTTCTTTTACTTTTATTTTTGGGTAGACGGAGTTGAGGCAGGCCTTACTCTGTAACCTGTCCTGGAACTCACTACAGAGTGTAAGCCAACCTTGATCTCTGAGCATTCTCCCTGCCTAATTATCCCAAGTGCTGGCATTACAGGTCTGACCCACAATACTCAGCTGTTTAAGAACAAACATGAGACGACCTGGAAGAAGAACTGCTGGAACATTCTGTAACTGTAAAGCAGGCATCCACATGGGTGCATTATTTTCAGCTATGCAATCTTATATTGTTTTCATCATTGGCACTCAATTATATTTAAATTTAATTTCAATTATATTTAAATTTAAGTTTAATTATGTCCTTGCGACCATATTTTCTGCAACTAGTTAATGGTAAAGGTTACAGGGTTTTCTCCTACCATCCAAACAATGGTAGTTAATACATTAAAGAGGATTAAGCTATAACACAAGACAGCTGAGGTAACACCCATGTCTGGCAAGTTGGCAACAACCCATGCCATGGAACCTGTCTAAGAAAAATCATTATGGTATTGTTTACGCAGTCATTCTGCTAACATCTGGACAGGTGAATTATACCTTGATTGAAGTTACCAGTCATATCAAAAGAGCTTCTAACCTGTTGTCTCACCCCAGAATAATTGAAGCTGTCTGTCACATAGAAGCTTTTAATTCACCATCTTACCCAGGAGCCATGGAAGCTATCTACCACCAGAATACCTTTATTAAACATCCCAGGTTCCATCCTTGACAATATATGCTTTGCCTCCAGCTCCTGGATCTTTCACGGTTTCCTCTGATTTCAAACTCCCTGAGAGTTAGCCACTCTCCGTTCTCAGTCAGTATACTCTTCTCATAGATGCCTGTAAGACCAAGACCAACTGAGCAGCCAGCTATGAAAACACATGCACTTGGCCCATTATATCCTGGATCTGGGGCTGAGGTTTAGTCTTAGGAGGATGTGCATTTCCTTCTCAGTCATCAGGGGCCACACACCCATCCTGATAGGCAAGGACAGAGAATGACTACCACTGATGTTATCTTTTATGCTTTTCCTAAAAAGAATCCATCTATTTTATGTGTATTTGTGTTTTGTCTGTAAGGGTTTCTGGGTACACCATTTGTTCTTATTGCCCACAGAAGCCAGAAAATCGCATTGAATCTTCTGGAACTGTAGTAATAGATAGATGGTTGTGAGCCAAGTGTGGTTGCTGGGTATTGAACCTGGGTCCTCTGGAAGAACAGTCAGTGTGCTTAACTACAAAGTGCTCTCTCCACCCTTTGAGATTACCTTTAAAAGCATTCTACTGTAATGTTAAAAGATTGTCAAAAGGAATCACTTCAAAACATGACCAGGATTCTTACTCTTTCTTTTACTGTGACCCAGTGTAGGTCCAACTTGTATTTCAGAAAGGTGAGTGAGAGCAGAAAATTCCATGCTGGACTCTTGTGAATCCAGCCATGAGGAAGCTGTCACCACAGCTACTTCTATAACATTATATTCTAGGACACGACAGATGGTTATTCCTCATATTTTAGACTCATGACTAGTTGATGTTAAAAGTGATTTAGGAAATGTTGTCTACATGGAACATCTAAATTGCATTTAGGCAGTAGAATCACGGGGAAAACACTTATTTGTTGCTAACAAAGAACTACTTGGTGCTAGGGAAACGGTTCAGTGGTGAAGGGCACTACTGTTCTTGTAGAAGACCCAGGTTCAGTTCTCAGAACCCACATGGGGATCACATCCATGACTCCAGATCTGATGTCATATTCTGGTCTCCATGGCCACCAGGCACTCTCAGTGCACAGACACATGCAGCCCAACACTCATAGCCAGAAAATAAAAGTAAATCTTAAAGAACTGTGCTGTGGAAAGGAAGATCAACCATGATAGAGGACCAGTGGCACTGTACCCTAACAATCACAGTTTCCACAACATTTCATTTCCATTATCTTTTTTATCATAACAATATGGTGAGAGAAGTTTTATTCTCATTTCAAAGTAGAGGAGGTTTAGTATTAGGGAGCCTGATGTAGACGACAGAGAAACTTGACTTGAGGTTGAGCTATGGTTTGAAAGTCCCCCCCCCCAGGGGTCATATATTGAAATCCTGCTCCATGACAAGGTGTTATGTGAGGTTGCACTAGATCATGGAGGGTGCTGCCTTTTGGAGGGATTAAGACAATTCTCATGGGACCTCAGCCACTGTCTGGCTTCCTGTTTTATGGTGGGATCTCTTCCTCCTACATGTCATACCCCTGCCATAATGCCACTTGCCCTCAGTCTCTCTCCAAAGGCCAACATATGAGGCTGCCTGATCTTGGCCTTTTAGCCTCTAAATCTGTAAGTTAAATAGAGCAGTCTGACTGAATATTTCAGTAGAGCAAAGAACCCTGTACTAATAAACCAAGAGAGCTGAGGTTAGAGTGTATTCAAATTCCAATCCAAATCCTCTGTGTTTTCTTACTCAGCTTAAAGTTAGACAGAGGTTACAGCTAACTGACCCACTAAGGTTGATGCTGACTTTCTCAGACACATATACTTCCCATCCTGGTGTGTTAGGGCTTACTCTGGTCTGAGATGCTAAACAGGTTTCTTATTGGCCTTTTTCACAGGGGGAAGGGGAGGTAGCCTGATAGGCCAGGGACGTATGACATTTAAACTTGCAAAATTGCACCTTAGGGTACAGCTCAATGAGAGAGCGTCTGCCTCACATGTACAAGGCCCTGAGTTTAATCTCAGTACTACAAGAAGGAGAAAAAAAGAAAAAATATGAAAAATGTCCCCATTCCTTCTCCTCTCTGGGGTTTGCTGCAGAAAAGAATGACCACAGCAGCCTGCGACTCTCCTGAGAAATGCTGCCTGGCACAGTGGAATTTTGGGTGCAGTCTGTGAATGAGGCTTTGTAGAGCGCTTCTGTCACTCACAGAATCAGAGAATGATTCTCCATGCCCCAACCATTTACAAAGAGTTCACTTCACACTTGAGACCTGCTATACTTGTAGGTATCTGCATTTGGGGTGCGCTATGCAGATTGGTTTCTGCATAACTCATAACCCTGGCCCTGGGTTCGGGCAGCTCCTTGGAAGAAAGCCTTTCACACTTTCATTGCTGGGGTGGTTGTTTGCACCCCGTGTTTCCCCAAAAGGAGAGCAATGTCAAGAGTTTCTGGCTTCTCTGGACTTGGCCTCTCACGCCCTCTTCTCATTTGTAACTTGACCTCAAACCCTCACTCACTTCAGTAACGGGTGTGACATTGCCAATATCCCGAGTTCCACAAACTGACTTTGGGATGATACACCCCCAACACAGATGTCCACCCCCTACAAAGTGCTATTGTCTAGATGAAGAGCACAGATCTGAAACTCACCTTGCGCAAATTTCTCCACATACAGAGTCCCCCGAGCATTACCACAGGTCACCGGAAGCTCAGGACGTGTAAAATCCTCACTGTTCAATATGGGATGTGTTGGACCTGCGCAGACACATTTCACTTTATTCTAGAACTGTGCATGGCTTTTTCTCCACCCACTTCGGTATCTTGTTTCTGCATCTAAAATGCACTGGGTTTTCCCATAAATTAGTTATACACAAAGATATTTCTGTTATGAATGATTAGATTCTTATAGCTAACAACCTGCTCTGTTCCCAACATCTGAACTGCATGGTGGCTGGAGCCTCGTTGCCAGAATCCCAGCTCTCAGACTTGTTGGTCCCAGCAGCCCCTGTGTTGTGGGAACTCCTTCAGCCAATAGACTTTAAGATACTGGCCCACTCTGGGCGTGGTCCATGCACTTTAACTGCATGAAAGCATATGTGACCCTTTCTTCTGCTGGATTCGGTTCCAGTTCCCAGTGCTCACAGAGGACTGTGGATCACTACCCTTACTGTGAGTTTATCACCAAATAAATAAACCTTTGTTAATACTCCTTTCTGGGCTATTGTGGAACTCTTTGGTACTACTACAGTTTGGCGACAATGTGGCCTGAATCCACGACATTTTCTGTCCCTGTTCAGACCCGCTAGGGCCTCCTCCCACCCCATGGAGCTGAACTAATCCTCTGCAGCTGAATTATCGAGCTGGCTCAGTTGAGCAAGGATTGGGTTGGCTGATCCACAGTAGGGACTTGGTAATTCCTAGCCCTCCTACCCCTGTGTGGCTAGCTCAGTCCTGCCAGCTAAGTGGCTGAGTAACTGATGCCTGCAGATTCCCTCGGCAACACCTCCGTGGCTTCTCTTACCCCTGTGGTTCATTGTTGCTACCCAAGCTAAAATCTGCTTCTGAGGTCCATCTGCTGTCTGGCCTGCTCTGATCAGGCTGAGCTCTATCCCTGCACCTAGAATACAGGCTTGCTTTCCCAGAAGGGATCCATGAAAAGCACAGGTCCTAAATCCACCCGTAACTTCACAGCTGGCAATTGCCTGCAAGCTCTGAGTCCTTTGACTCAATTGTCTCCATATGAAGGTGTGCCGCTTTTAAAAATTTTTGCTGAGTCTCATAGGTCCCTGATCTAGACCTGCCTTACTGCCACAACTCTGACACCTGCTGGACAATCCGCAGTATTACACCTACAACAGTTTTCTGAAAATTATAAGGGAGATAAGTTAATTTGATACCTAAGTATCAGATTGATAGGTAAGTAAGTAAATAAATAAATAAATTTGAAGATTGTAAACCAATCCCAAGATAATTGGAGACAATATTCCCACCAAGGAATATAATAATATTTTTGTTTCTGCTATTACTGGATTGCTACAAGAGCTGTATGACCTGATACATATATTTTTGTGGCCATGGTAGCTATTAGTTTTATTATTCATACTATATCCTTAGAGAAATGGTTTTATAACAGAGTGAGGAATGAGAGACTTTTAGAAATGATACAGTCTTTATAGACTCGTAATGAGAAGCTATCAGAAAAGTTTCAAATTTTTGAAATTGACCATTAAAATCTGTTAAAAAGGTAAGATAAGCCAGGAGACAGAACATCCCACCAGGAAGGCAGTCTACATGCTATCCAGATAATATACATGGATAAGAAGATATAATAAGTGAATAAGTTAAAACCTTGGAATAACATGTGTAGAATGAGAACCAGAAATTAATTGATTTGAGGAAGTCATTAGAAATATATCTGTTTTTGTCTTTATCATACCTTTCATTGAATATGTATGTCTGCATATGTCTATATAGATCATGCTTAAGTTTTCCATAGTGAACAATAAATTTCCCTGCAGTAATCTTTGAAGTTTCCAGGAAGAAGATGGGGCCCCACAACAACAACTCCACCTGGTTTATATGACATCATGATGCTGATAGCACTACTCCAAGACCTGTTTTGAGTAGCAGCTGCAAGATACGGTTCTGACTTGGTTAGCTGAAATGGTGCACATCTTTTACAACATTCTTGCCAGACCTCCACAAAAAATACTCAGAGGCTATTTACAATTTTACCAGACAAAATAGTAATCTTGGAATTTAAGCATTGTTTACTTTCACAGGATCCCCTAGAAAGAACGTTGCCCCCATGAGAGCTGGAAGCAATTTTAGAGGATGACGTTCCCTCTCCCAGCAGAGTTTGCCCTCAGGTTTAGGGACATGATTTAGGGGCTGGTTATAATTGGTATATGCTTGAGGGATGGGGGAGGAATTTTATAGGTTCAGGGATCTTCTTGAAAGAAAAAGAGGGATAATTGGATGATGGGATAATAGATTGGTATTTGTGAGTTATTGTTTTTAGACAATTATATTGGTATCAATTCTTGTATATTGATACAAAGTTAAGTTATATTGAATATTGTATGTGTGTATGCTTCTACCTCTGTTTGAAACATTGTTTATGTATTGACATACATATTTACCATATTACAGTGTACACTACTACCTCTGATCAAGATACTTATACATTGTTTGCATTTGAAGGTCATTGTTCTTATTTATTGCACAGTTGTTTATTGTCTTAGTCTTTAAGTTAGATAGGTATTGAGAATTATAGATCAATAGTCATCTATGTTTGTCATATTTATATTTAGGCTAATCAGGTTCTTTCGATACATAGAGATTATATTCAGTATAGATAGTATAATCTTCAACCTCTTCAAAGAGCTGTAGAAAATGGCCTTTAATCTAACCTAGAGTTCTGTGGTAGTGAGAGACAATCACTCCTGGCAACACTGATCTACTCCTGAGAGAATATTGAGCACCAAAGCCAAAGACACTCCACCTGGAGCCTTTCTTCTTGGCAGAACTGGCCTTTGGGCAAAGAAATGCCCATACCTCAACCACTGACAGAGATACAGAGTATCCGTAAATGGACAAAACAGGACTGTCATATCCTGCCAAAACAGGGTATGATAGTTTTGCAAAGTTTCTTGCCTTTGAAAATGGTATGTCAGTTATGCTAGGCCTTAGCCAAAGTTGGCTGCTTCAACATTGCAAATGAGACTTTGGGTAATTGCCCAGGTAGTCAGTTGTCTCTGTCATTTGTTGCACAATTTGGAAGTTTCTCGATTGCACTTCCTGTTTACTCAAGTAATATTGCTTCCCTTCTCAGATCTTTGATGGAGTTGAAGATTAGATAATTGTAGTTATCTTCCTCATGATTTAGCCAAACTTAATTTCAATACATTATATAGACTCCTTGAAATAGAATGTTTAGTAAAACTTTTGTCATGTGTTCCTTGTTTAATATTGTTTATTGTTTGTAATTATATATTTGGTATCTGTTCCTGTTGTATATAGTTGTATTGTGTTTGGATCGTTCTTGTTTAGACAAGGGGAGATGATGGGGAAACTATCAACTGATAGTTTTGACCAATCACATTCAGTTGGGTTGTGGCCACCTATAGTCCAGGTAGAAAAACCTTGGGATGTAGATGCACACTCTCTCTCTCTATGCGGTGCTCGCCAGACCAAATTTGATTTTGAACCCCCACTCTTGTAGCGTGAGTTCCTCCTTTTTTTCAATTATTAAAATATAACTGTTGTTCTTGAGCTGGTCTGGTTATTTATTGTACTGACTGAATATGCCAAGATAAAAGACAGTGATAAAAAGATTTGAATCAATCAAGGACCTTGTCAGAACTGATAAGCAAGGAGAGGAGGTACAGGCAAAGGACAATAGTAAAGATTTAGCATCAGCAGTAGCTCTCAGAGTCAGAGATGACTACCAAGAGTTTTAGCTACTTATTCTGTTACTACCTCTGAAAAGCCAGCAGATTCTCAATACCCAAAAGTATATACAGAATGTAAATCAGAATCATATATATATATGAAAAATCTAAAAGATATTAAGCAAGCAGTAGTACCTTATGGCACATATTCACCATATGTGAGGGTGTTGGTAATGACATAGGCTTCATGAAATAAGGTTACTCAAAATAATTGGCTTCAATCAGTCTCAGCCATGCTAGAAGATGGACTGTAGTTACAGTGGAAATACCGTTGGAGAGAGGAGACTAAAGCCCTGGAACATCAAGGTAGAGCCAGAGGAATTGACGCCTCTCAAGATGAAATTCTTGGTGAGGGCTGTTACACTGATTCAGATAGTCAAGCTATATACAATAAACACATCTTGTTCTTGTGCCTTACAGTGTTCTTGTTCTTGCAGCCTTGAATGCTTGGGACAAGATTCAAGAACTAGGAATAAGAATTAAAACATATGAGGTCATGCAAGGCTCAAGATAATCCTTTAGTGACTCTTTACAAAGATTAACTAAGCTGTACAAATAGGGGTATCAGATCCAGAAGCTAGACAAGTGCTTACTGAATCTCTGGATTTTTAAAATGCCAACTTAAAATGCAAAATGATACTTGGACCATGAAAGGTCAGAACAGCACCAATGGATGAATGGATCCTGCACCCAGTCAATGTTGAGTCATTTGACTATAAGGCTGAGGCTTGACTGAGGCTTGGGTAGGAGAAGCAATTTCCAAAGGTATGAAAAGTCATCAAAATATCAAATGTTTTTATTGTGGTAGAATGTGCCATCTGAGAAGGATTGTGGACAGGGCATTCATACAAATAGTGTTTCTTTTGGAAATAACAAAAATAAAAGGTCTCAATCTTTTGGATTTTATAGACAATGAGACAAAGCCCAACACTGGATCAATAAATGCAGATAAATAAAAAAACAAGGTAGGCTGTTACTACTGGGAAACTCCTTAGGGGGTTTCTCACAGACTTCAGTTCAAACGTGGCCCAGTCATTCTCAGTCACTGTGGGGCACATGCCTCCTCAGAAATGGAAAAATCCAGTACCTGGTATAAAAAAACATATTGCTATTGATGAAAGAAGAATCATGGAGGATGAATCAAAAGTCCCAGTAGAAAATTATCAATGTATATTTTAGCAGACTTCTATAAACGACATCAAAGACCAAACCCGAGAGTATGAATAAATAACACTATAATTGAAGGATTTTTGAATACAAGTCCAGATGGGACTATTATTACTCCAGAATCTTGGCATCTGG